TCTCTCTCTCTCTCTCTCTCTCTCTCTCTCTCTCTCTCTCTCTCTCTCTCTTTTTCGCCGATAGCCGGTCGCAAATCAGCGATGCATTAGCAACAACCGCCGGCTGATTCCTTTCCTTTCGTCTCCTCTCCTCTCCTCCTACTCCTCCTTCTTGCCCGGCCGCGAGAAAGTGCGAGAATGAATCACGCTCGTTGGGCAGACACGTAAGTATCTTCCGTGCGCGAGGTCGGGTATCGCAGGTATCAATCGCGAAGTCGGGCGGCGCGAATTCATGAAGAGGCGTATTCGCGATTCTGCCGGTCGTGTGGCCGTCGGGAGAATTCGTTGGGGGGGGGGACTGTGTTTTCGGCAAATTGCATGTACGTGCAAAGTCACGAGAGACAGAGAGATAAGAGACAAAGCGACTCTGAGGCAGTAAAGATCATAGTAAAAATGATAAAATAGCAACTATTCGCGTTCAGTAACTCCCTAATGGTCATTTTATAAATTCATGACCGTCGATAGTAATCTGTAAGTGCATATACTCGAGGAAGAAGCTATCTATTTTTATTTTATTACCGTTATTGTTAAAATGGCATTTATGAAAAATTTCGGCCAGTTTGCCGAAATATCGTTTTGTCTCATTCGTCGCGTCTATCTCTTTTTCTTTATATATATATATATATATATATATATATATATATATATATATATATATATGTATGTACACGTCTTTCTTCCTTTTCTTCTCTTTCTCCCGTTCTCTTGCCATCCCTTCCCATCGCGCTATCGTTTCGAGAGTAGGCGAGCGACTGGCACACCGCCTCGGACGAGAAATGCAATAAGAACGAAAGAACGACGAGCCGATCGAGGGTAGAGGAAGGACCCTCAATGAGGGACGAAGCGATCATGAGCGTAAAATGCGAGTGTTGCCGCCGAGTAAGTAGCGTAACCAACAATTGACGACGGCAAATCGCGGCGCGGGGAACAGAATCAATTTGCGTTCAATTCCGACGAGATGAAATTGTATCACTTAATTGAAAATCGCGCGCCTGAATTTTCTCTCGAAATCATTCCGCCGTTTCTACAAAGTGAGTCGTTATCAATCACGAATGGTCGAGTTGCACTCACGCGGCCGTCAATTAAAGCTGGGAAAGAAATGGCAGGAGGAGAAAGGAACTAGTGAGAAAAGTAGGGGAATCGTCATTGAGCCAACGTGTTGAAGTGGGATTTCGCGGGCCTGACATTTCGACCGTTCGATCTGGCCGCCTAATTCCCGGTGCAAGAGTCAAGGTATCCTAGTTAGTCGACCAGACGGTTCTACTTTTTATTCGTCCCCTTCTCTCTCTTTCTACCTGCCTCCTTTTCGTCCTCTACCCTCCCCATTCACCTAACGATAGTCAGCTGGAAATGGTTACGCGACCCGAAATGTGCGCGACGCGAACAGATCTGTTCGGCCGAAAATGATAATTATGTCGTTATCTAAGTCTCCGGGATTACATTTAAATAACTTACCCGACGGATTTGAAATTTTAATGACGCCCGATGGATAAAGGAATATTATTTCAAGCGATGCTAAGCAGATATTAAATATCGCACCACGAAATCGCGCCCGCGATCAGATTCCGACGATAATCTGAGAACTTTCTTCTTCGAGATAGCGCGAGATGAGGAAAGATCGACAACGCTGGCACAAGGAAAATCGCCTCGCCGCGATGCAAAAAGGCGCCGACGGTGGCGCAATTCGCTATTGAATTTTACCACGGCACTCCCGCGTGATTAATTACGTCCAGCTGACCTTTAAATGGAATCTAAGTGCGCCGCGCACGCTACCCGCTGTACTCCAGAAAAATGTCCTAGCATTAGAAAGTCCTAAACGCGACTGTAGGCCGGCGCTCTTACTACGGCACTTATCTGCCGCGGCTCTCCCACGCGCGCGGCCGCGCTTAATGAATGAATGAATTGCGTCATCTTACGGAGATGCGCTTTTACGTACAGTCACTGAACAAAAATAGTCACCCACTTGCTCCCGAGGGAAAGGCATAATTATAGCTGGCGCGAGACGCGGAAATGGATAGAACGAGGAAGAGGAAGATGGTGAAAGCGAGGAAGGAGCGCGTGTTTTACGATAGAACCCGAGAATAAGCGCGGGGGCAAAACAAACGGGACAATAGCGCGGCCGATTCGAGACAATTTATCACTTTACAAGCGATACGAAGGAATCAAGATTTTAAGCTGGAATAATTCCTTATTTGAAAATAATTTAGGAATTATTCTTTAATCAACATTAATATTGGATTAATTTTTTATTTAAAATTAATTTTGGAATAATCCTTTATTCAAGATAAGTTTCTGAAAGTTTTTTTTTGTGTAATTATTACAGAACTACTGAGACAAGAATGAGATGACTGTTACAACGTTGACCACAGAAAGAGAGATCGACAGACGAGAAGAAAAAGCGCGGGAGAAGGATTCGGCTTTTCGACTGAGAGACTTAGAGTGAACGTTAACTACCGCGAGATGCCGAACCCACTTGCATGCAGAGCCGTTACTACCAAGCAGAATTGTTTTGTAATAACCAGAAGGTGCGTTACATTCACGCTGAGTAGAGAAGGCGGTGAGAGAAGGAGGAAGAAAATGAGTGCGACAGAAACAGAAAGAGAGTGGGGCTAACTACATTTCAATGATATTAGAATACAACTCACGTCAACCGCCCGTATTATATTTTAATAATGGACTGTCTGACATTTTCCTCACTTTTGTGCAACGCCTTTCGTAACATGTTAGTCGGGATAAATTCAGCGTCGCGCCATGTAATTATGCTCCCTATTAGCCCCGATTTTTACCGACCCGCCAAAGACTTTACTGAGCTCTCCGTCATTTATCACGACAAAGCGAGAAAAGGAGAGAGGTAAAGAGAGAGTCTGTCGGAATCACAAATTCTCGATACTATACTGGCGAGTCACAAAACGTCGTAAAGTATCGAGAAAACGCATGCAGTATATTTGGAATGCGTATATTGGTGCCACCGCGAGGTGCTGACACTTTTGTCGTTGGCTCGGTGAACAGTGCGG